GGCAAGAGAAAGAGAGGGGGGGGGGACACAGGAAGCCCATTCCAATGATGACCTCATACGTCTTTCCATCCAGCACCCAATTTTGCTCACAACCAATGGGCTGCATAATCTGAGAGTGCCATCAGATCTCCAGGGGGAAGGTATGCTTTAGGGTAATCTGAGTCAGAGATCTGAGTCTACCTGTACTCGTGTATTTGGGATAATTGCAGTCGTGCAGAGCTCAGGTATGATGTGACAGATCAAGAGAGTTAAGCCTCAAGAATCCGCTCCGTGTTGCTTCTTCCCTCTCATCTCTCCTTCTCTGTTCTTCTAGTGCCAGGCTATATGAATATTCTTCAGCACGCTTAACAAACGTGCAGTAAAAGGGGCTGGGAGGGGTCTCTGCTGTTACTTTATCCAGAGTAATGAGACCTAATCCCCTCCTGCACCCCCATGTTTAAACAGCCCCTGACTGAGCTGCCCAGTAATAGAGTAATTAACCCCTGCACATCCTCCCATCTTATTCCCCCTGCTTCTCCTCTGCAATAAAAATCCCCCCATTTCTGATAATTCTTCCAAAACCAGAATGAGAGAGAGAGAGAGGAGAGAGAGAGAAATTAAAATAGGTAACATTTTGCTGAGCAAATTCCCAGTGTCTCACTTTTTAAAACTGACACCATATCTGCATAATATATAATCAAACTACCAACTTTAACACAGCTAAACACAAAAATGTTATTAATGAACACTTTGCACAGGTTTTTAAGAAAGAAAATGTGTGAAGAAATGATGGAGCGTCCAACGCACCTGAACAACGCACCTATTCAGCGTGTTTGGGCACACGGATCCCCAGAGAGGAGCCTCTCTTCCCTCATCAAGCATTCCTTGCATCCTACAATGAGTATGTTATTCCTGCACTGTTTGTTTTTCCTCCTCATCATTTCTGTGCATGACGAGTGATTTGTTTGCACCCGGTCCCCCAGAATGATCCCTATGGGACAATAATTCCACATCCACCCAGAATCCAATTAGAGCTATGATGGTCCTGACCGCCTGTTTTATGACTGAGAATGTGTTCACGCTGACAGCAGTTACGAGAGGTTGTGCGTGTAATATGCTCATTCTCTGCATTTCACGTTTCTCTTGCCCTTCATTTCCACTCAAGGTGCTGTGTTTATTTCAAGACCTCAGAAAAGTCCTTCTCCAAGTTTCTGTACGCTGGCCAATATTTAGAGAGTTTGGTGCAATAATTAACACTAAATACCACCAAAAGTTCAAGTGATGTATAAGTGAGTTTGTCTCAAAATACCTACTGAACACTTATCAGGTTTCAACTAACGCATTTTCAGATGTGGTACAAATGTGATTCCACGCCATCGTAGTGAAACAGCAGTATTGAGTTCTGTAGATGAAAACAAGGAAAAGCTGTATACTGAAGATACCTGTTAGGGATGAAGTTAGATTCTTTGAGCATCTCTGCTTGTTCAATGTTTCGAGGAAATCCACGCAGCACCCATCCACGGGCGGCGCAGTCCATCCGGCTGAGCCTCTGAGTCAGGATCTGGAGAACCAGGTCATTGGGCACTGAAAAAACGACAAAATACCAACAGGACGGTGAGGGACTTGTGTCCATCTGGAAAAGCAAAGGCTCGTGGATTAGCTGCTTTTACTCTTATTTTTACGAGACGTCTTTACACGTATTAGTCCTTGCTCACTGGTACATTCCTGACAAAACCAATAAAGTCACATTTAGATTTTTGTGCTTGTGCATGAATGTCTTGCATTTAACAATAAACAAATTAAAGTTTGATCACAAATGCAAGCACCTGCCAATGGATCGTCTAGGAAAAACCTATCAAGCATTTCTTAGTCTGATCGACATCAAAGGTAGTGCAGAAACTTTTAATTAGTGCACCAGCAGAACTGCATAAACCCTGTTAGCTTAGTTGTAAACCCCCTCCCCCCGCCTCCCCCCAGCCCCACTAACGCTTTGGTGCAGACCCAGATAAATAAACAACACAGCTACTGGCATCACTGGTTCCATCTGGTGGTGGGGAGCAATAACGGAGAGAGGGCAGGGACCATGCTGATTGGCTGGTGAAAGATAACCACCTGGAGATTTCAAAGTGGGTGATCAGTTGCGCTACAGACCAGCACACGGCAAACATGCAGTGCAAGTACAATTATGCATGTATAAACATGCATCCCACCCAGTCTAATATGCATTCTTCAACACAAGGCATAGGAACAAGAACTTCAATAAATAAAACTGTATATTTTTCCTTCTCACAAACCCACTGCCATAAAGCAGAGTCTCAAACACAGAATCAAAAGATCAGGCTTCTGTGAATTACACTTTCCCCCATTATAAAATAATAATACTGTATTTTAAGATATATGTAAGTAAACAAAGATATATTTGACTATTTTTTCCCCAATCAAGAAATATTTCCACATTAGATATAAAAAAAAATATTAAATTAATTACAACACAGACACATTTGTGAGTGTGGATATTTTCTGAAACATCAATCTCCTTTTACAGAAAGACTGGAGATGAATATATCATTTAATATCTGTTCTTAATAAAGGAAACATCATGACGTAAGTCACAGCATGCTAATGGACAGTAAAAAATGGTTTACAGGAAACTCATCTTCATTAATATTCTTAATTGTGTGTTAAATACATCATCCTACATCAGATCAAGAGGGACATACGGTACATAAATATCAATAGCATAAATAAAGGAACATGACAACATGGTAAATTTCCATGTGCATTCAGTTTAACGGAAAAAAAGTTACCATTGCTATTCTCAGCGGCTTCACAAGGAAGGTGTCTTATTAAAATCATCACAGGGTTAAGGGTTAATAAACGGGAAACGGAAGGAGGGGTACACTGAAAAACAGCGAGGGGGAGAATTAGGAGTGGGGGTGAATGAGAAAATTCATTTTTTCTATAAGAAAAGTGAGCAGCACCCAAGGGGTGCCTGAAGCTTGTGAAAAATTAACGTAGACGGATTCAAACTGTCCAATTTCCACATCAAACAAACCTCGGCTCCCTGCTCCTGCTGAAGCGGCTTCAAACGCCAGAAGCCCTGGAAAGAGGCTCTTACGCTTCCCCCTCTCACCCCCTCTATTCATAACACTATTTTTCTATTTCCTTCATAATCCTGGTCTCCAAATCCCCAAAGCACTGTACTGGTTACAGTAGCCACTGTCTCTCCTCTGCCTAATTATACCCTTGTGAGTCTATTAATCAACTTGTAAATTATTTAAGGGAGAGCTTCTCTGCCTGCCACTCGCACTGACACTGGGAGGGAGGGGGGCGGTATTGTGAAAGGGGGAGAGAGAGAGAGAGAGAGAGAAAGGGAGAGAGAGAGAGAAGGAGGGGGCCTTCAAATGACACTGGCAGAATCACTCTGGTCTCAGAATCTATCTGTTCTGGTGTTTTAACACCCAAGTGAGACAGAACTCGCTCAACATTTACTTCTATTTTATACATAACATTTTTCAGTATTATGAATACATAAATATCTACAGCAATGTGGATACTCTTATCACATACTATTTTCCTGGGATTGCAAACTTAAGCAGCCTGCTTCCCTTCTGCAGGAATTATGTCCCTGTTAGTAGTTTGAATCTTTTTGCTACGTATCTTTGTTTCAACTGCATGCCGACTTTAAGGTGTGTGCCTTTTTAATGACTTCCTTTCCTACCATTTTCCACAGAAAAATGAATTTTATAGTACAGCAGAGGTCATAATTATTTTTATAACATGCTTGGTTCCTCTTGATTATAATACACTGCGCGGGTTCTGATATAATTTTTATTTTTTGTGGTTCTTATGTGCCTTGACGCATGAATTTCATTTTAACTGCTACAGTGGGTCTTTTCATAATTTTTTCATGCCTCGACTGTCCAATGAAATCATCATCCGCTGTCAGAATTTAATTTAGCCAAAATCTCCAGGTCCCTTCATGTTTCGGCTCCTTAGCGGCGTGAATGGATTCCCGGCTTTGTCAGACCCAACCCGCTCTTGTTCCTGTTCGTCGTCCCGAGAAGACATGCCTTCTTTGAATTTTACCAATTAATTGCGAATCAAAGGGGTTTTAAAAGTGCATGCAAAAGCATCTGCTCGTCTTATCTTGTGAGAGCTTTCAGGTAACAAAGGGCTACACGGAAAAGGGCGAATCCAGCACTGAGCCCCATGCTAACGCTACAGATATTCTCTAAAGGATGCTCCACTCATTTGGAGCTACAGCTATCCCCCCCCCCAAGTTCCTGAAGATGTATTCCTGGTCGATAAGACGACATTAAATTCTACATATTGAGGAACCTTTCCCCTATGCATTAGAATAGGACGAGGGTGGCAATGTCCAATCAAAAAACAGAGATACAGCGAATTAATAAAAAAGGACTCTGGGACATGATTACGGTGATGATGGGGGCCCTCTGTAGGCACTCTGTAGAGTTCTCCAAAGGTTCTCTGTGAGAGCGGCCAGCCTCAGCTCGCCCCCCCCGGTCAGCGCCCCCCTCATTAGGCCCGGACCTGGCGTGCGTCGGCAGGTGGGGCCCCGTCGCACTGGTGGAGTGGCAGGTCTCCGCGGGATGTTTATTAAATTAATAAAAAGTTGCTCAAGGCAAATGGCGCAGACGGAGGGCCAGGATGGCTCAGTGATTGGCATCTGCGGCAAGGTGGCGGCCTCTCAGGGGGGCCGGGGGGGGCGGTGGGGCCGCTACGTTCGCAAACTGACCGTGACGGAGCACAGCGTGCCGGCCAGCTCTGCCCCTCCCGCTCCCGCAGCACAGCCATTATGTGGGATACCAGGCTCAGGACCCCGTCAGCAGAGGTAGAGGGACAGAAAAGGCGGCGGTAAGGAGCATTTTCACGAGGGAAGTGACAGTCAGAGGGAAAACTCACGGCTTCAGCTTGCGCTCAACCAACACGCGTGTAATTTAAGGTGTCACCCCCCTCCCCCTCACACACCCCTGGGAAAGAGACTATGATTAGGGGACAGTTTGGGTGAAGCTCGGTTCCTGTGACACCCAGTTACTCAAAAGTCAGAATCCACATTTGGGCCGAGCTGTAGGATAATCCATCTGTCAGTATGAAGAATGGGTACAATGCAGCCCCCGCCTTCAATAAATTGTTCACGGTACTGTCATGTGTCTGTGTGTATAGATTACTAACTACATTTTCATTGACTGATATAAGCCGGACTAAATATCAAACAAGTCATGTATCTAACGTGCTACTTTTCACCCTGAATTTTGAGCAACCATTTATACAATTAGGGTCATGGCACTGCACAGCCTATTTGAGGAAACAAAGGGCGTGAGCAGGTGGTGGGGGGCGTGGCCTTCAGCCGTCTCTGGGGGGAGCGCCAGGTGAAAGGGGTTATTCACATAGATTAATTCCACCTGCCCCATGCTCTCGGAGATATGTATAAATTGGTGTGCTCCATTCTGTTATGGCTCTGACCGCCCCAGTAACCCGGATACCACTACGACACCAGTCCCCGCACCCATAATCTCCTCCCATGCGATGTTTTCTCCTGACGCGTTGGTCCCGTGTTCCTTTATTTATGTCTTCACCTGTGAAAGCTGCTCCTTGTTTTGGTCCAATCGAACTGTGAAAAAATGTCACATGGTTCCATACGGCCAGGAAGGGGTGCCCATCTAGAACTGGGCGTTCACGCTAACATCCCTATTGAACCACCTATTCACCAGAACTGTGGGAGCAGTGGGATTGAACTGGCATGAACACGGGGAGGACATGCGACAGACGCAGGGGTGGCGACAGACACATCCTAACAAAGCCAGAGGTGTGCAGCCAGACACTATTTCGCACGTGCGCTTTCACTATGAAAACGGGAGGAATGAAATGAGATCCTCCGCGAAGAGAGTTCCGCACATCTGGCTCATGCTTAAGCTGCAATTTCCTGGTACTGAGGCTTTCCAGTAGAAAGGCCAGTTTTACCCAGAAGACCACGCTTGCCTTTGCTGGCTGACCTTCTTGGCTGTGGCATCAAAGCCGTCTTACTCACAGAAAGAGAGCCACCGAGCAATCGGGAATTTACAATGGATAATATTGGGATTACAATGACAATAAAAGGCGAAAACAGAATATGAAATGATACATGAATGACTGATGAGAACACAGAGAAGTCCAACACATTGTTATATCCAAAAAACACACCCTGAATATGGGTGTGCGCCTACATACATTCCCAAATGCATTTAATAATGATATTAGTCTGCACTGTCCTTCCTATAAGTCATTATTTTGTAGCTAAACATAAACACGAATAACTGATTTCCAAATGGTTGATGTACAACCCCGTTTCCAAAAAAGTTGGGATGTTGTGCAAAATGTAAATAAAAAGAATGTGACGATTTACAAATCATGTAAACCCATGTTTAATTGACAATAGAACAAAGACAACATATCAAATGTTGAAACTGAGAAATGTTATTGTTTTATGACAAATATGTGTTCGATTCGAATTTGACGCCAGGAACTTGTTTCAAAAAAGTTGGGACAGGGACGTGTTTGCTACTGTACTATGTCACCTTTTCTTTTAATAACACTCTGCAAACGTTTAGGAACTGAGGAGACCAATAGCTGGAGTTTTGAAAGTGAATTCTTGTTCCATTCTTCAACTGCTCAACAGTTCTAGGTCTCTGTTGTATTTTTTGTTTCATGATGCGCCAAATGTTTTCAATGGGTTGCAGTTCAGGATTGTAGGCGCCGGGACTCTCCTACCACAGAACCATGCACGTGCATAACGCGGTTTGGCATTGTCTTATTGAAATATACAAGACCTTCTCTGAAAAAGATGTTGCCTGGATGGCAGCATGTGTTGCTCCAAAACCTGTATATATCGTTCAGCATTAATGGTGCCATCCCAGATGTGCAAGCTACCCAAGCCATGGGCACTAATGCAGCCCCATACCATCACGGATGCTGGCTTTTGAACTGATAACAAGTTCTATGGTCCCTCTCCTCTTTAGCTCAGAGGACGTAGCATCCACAATTTCCAAAAAGAATTCTAAATTTTCATTTGTGATACCACAGGAGAGTTCTCCATTTTGCTTCGAGCTCAGAGAATCCAGCAGTGCTTCATGTTTAGACATGGATTCTTCTTTGCATGGTAGAGTTTCATCCTGCATTTGTGGATGCAGTGATGAACATGTTCACAGACAGTGGTTTTTGGAAGTGTTCCTGAGCCCATGCATTGATTTCCACTATAAAATCGTATCTGTTTTTAAAACAGTGCCGCTTGACGACCCGGAGATCATGGCTATCCAATACTGGTTTTCAGTCTCGTCTCTTGCATACAGAGATTTCTCCAGATTCTTTTAATCTTTTAATGACATTATGTACCGTGGATATTGCAATTCCTAAATTCTTTGCAATATTATGTTGTGGAACGTTATTTTTTAATTGTTGCACTAGTTGCCCACTCAGTCTCCATCTTCACTGCACAGAGTGGTGAACCTCTCTCCATCTTCACTGCACAGAGTGGTGAACCTGTCACCATCTTCACTGCACAGAGTGGTGAAGCTCTCTCCATCTTCACTGCACAGAGTGGTGAACCGGTCACCATCTTCACTGCACAGAGTGGTGAACCTCTCTCCATCTTCACTGCACAGAGACACTGTCTCTTTGGGAGGCTCGTTTTATAACCAGTCATCTTACTGACCTGTTGCCAATTAACCTAATTAGTTGTGAGATATCCAACAACGTGTTTTGTTTTAGCATTACACAACTTTTCCATTCTTTTGTGGAACTTGTCTGAAACGTGTTGCTGGCATCAAATTAAATGAGCATATATTTGTCATAAAACAATAAAACTTCTCAGTTTCAACATGATATGTTGTTCTATTTTCAATTAAATATGGGTTTACAGGATTTGCAAATCATTGCATTCTGTTTTAATTTACATTTTACACAGCGTTCCAACTTTTTTGGAGACGAGGAAGTACTTTGCCGTATTCCAGGAAAAAATGAAGCCACATGATTAAAACATAAACTTTAAAATAAACATAAACAAAAAACAAAACAAGACAAAAAAGCTGCTCTTTCTCAGCTGGGGAGTCTCACATGGGGAAGTCGCAGCTAAGTCATTAGCATGTAAACTGGGGGGAAGGATTGTCATCGCGGAACATTAAACGGAGGGAAGTGAGAAGAGTCCATTTTCATGTGCAAATGAGAGTCGGGCTGCAGCCGTTCATTATTATTTCATCAGCGGCAAGATGCTGTCGCCTTGGTCACACGTTTCACCCGCCACCTTGCCGGACACTTCCATCCTGACCGTGCCAGCAGGCTGTTTAGGCTCAGGCTGTGATGGTGTGAGCTCCAAACCATCATGAAAAGCGGTGGGGGGAGGGGGGTGTCGCCAATCCATAAAAAGCAGAATTCCAGCTCTGCACAGAATTGGTGTCGCATGCGCAAATTGCTTGAAATTCTGAACTTGACTAAGCTTCACTTTTAAGTTAAAATAAGTGTTTGTGGCCTGCGACATTTTACAGCCTTGTGAGAATGGATCATTCCTGCATGGACGGCAGGGGCAAACGGACCCCCCAGTCACGTGTATGAACATAACCAAGGCGGTTTTCCCAGCTAGACAAAACACAACATGTTATAAACACAGAGAGTTGGTGGGTATTACGCTGTCCTGTTGATTACATCAATTTACTCATTTCTGTAAGGCAAACCTCGCAGTGCTTGTGGACTATCGCAGCACACAGGTGTAAAAGTCACACTATTGGATTTATGACAAAGGAAGGTGGCTGAGCACGGAATTATATTGTGTTTGTGACCGTCGAAAAAATCACAGTAGCTCTCCACTAAGCAGAAACAGGGTATCCAATATCCTTTCACGTGACACTAAGAAACACCAGCCCACCCCCCCGCCCCTCCTGCTCCGCAACCCCCTCAGACCTTCTTCGTGGCTGTACCTTGCTCTCCAGATGCCAGGTAGGGTTTAATGAGCTCTCCCATACTTGTCTTGTCTGCAGAAACTGCCTTCAGAAGCTCTCCGCAGCAAACTACAAGGGAGAGAGAGGTTAAGAAAGAGAGAAAGTAGGATATTAAACTTTAAATAAACAGAATATGCAATGTAACCTTTCAGACTGTGAAAGTAAACAGTACAGGAAAAAAAGAAATATCCTATGCTTGTTATTGGAGCAGTATAACAAAGAGTATGTATGGCACAGAGGAGAATCAGAGAGAATGAAAATTATTGGCAAAATCTGGACACAGGCCTGCTCACTTCCGAGACTCAAAATAAAATATTTACCATGTAAATACCTGACGCATGAATTCTAAATCAAGATTAGATCATCTCTCAAATTATAGCCATGACATTTCTTGAAGAATAAAGCGCAAACAGTTACAGATGCCAAATAATTAGCATAATTAAAATTTGTGCACACCTGCCCTTAGAGATACTGTAGCTACGTGGGAGCCATATGGCGCAATCACACCCTCCAAATCCAGAATCGTGGGGTGAAGAACGGGCAAGAACACGGCTATGAGATTTGAGAATGAGGCTGAACGACTGAGAAAGGTGATAAAGATTACGGGTGGGAAGAAAAGGCAGAGGATTTGTTAAAGGTGAGCGGTAACCACTGAACTGAACATGAAGGGCAGAGGTTAGTCAGAGAGGAGAACGGCTGCGGCGAGAGAGACGAAGCGCCGGAGATAATTGAGAGCTCACTGTTGACAAGGTTGTATTTCTGAGAGATCAGCTCAGCCTGCAGTCTTTTTCCGGAGCCTGGGGGTCCGAACAGAAGGACCCTGGGCGTGTAGGGGGCCGGGGGCCGGGGCCGGCGCTGTATGTAGCTCAGTGCTGTGGGGACAAATAAAAAGAAAATGAAATGAAAATAAAATGAATGAAATGATGCTTTATTTATTTGCCATTTGCACAAGAATGAGTACATGCAGATGTCACCAGTACGAATGCCTGCAGATGGCTAGGATTACGTGGAGGGACCAAAGAGCGAACGGGAAACGCTCGTTCCAAAAGGCCCCGAGGAGAGCGCCTCCCACAGGCCAGGGTGACGGCAGGGCCGACAGCGAAGGACGCTCCACGTAGGGCGACATCGCTCTCAGCCGGTCTGGGTGCTTCAGCCCAGCCGGCGGGCGGCGGGCGGGCGGCGGGCGGGGGGCGTCGGGCGTCACCTCCGCCGCTGCTCTGAATTATATTGCCGGTGAACTACTTTTTTTGCCTTACTCCCCTAGCCTACCTGCAAAAGGGAAATTCTCTAAGGGCAAAGCGTTATAAATGTCTCTAATTATAATCCCCCATGTCAAAAACAAAGCAGCAGCAGATGCATGCTGTAGCGCGCCGGGGCGTCCTATCCCTTCAGCGAAGATTAAAAAAAGACTTCAATCGGCTCCTGAGAGCACTATAAATCTGGGGAGGTTGCTGCAAGAGCCTCTCGCCCCCCCCCCCCCCCCCCCCCCTCACACGCATATGGGGGAGGGGGGGGGGCTTCATCGTGCAACCTGAAGGCGAACATCACGTTAACTCCTGCGCCCCTATCCACGTGAAGGTAAAAAATATTAAATATAAGAATAAATCCCTTATCAGACCAAATAAATCAGCGCTTACAAGGAGCAGAACAGCCGCTACCAGCCTGAGTCCCTCACATGACAAACGTGGCTGGCTAATCTGGAAGTTAAGCAGGTAATCAATAAATGATGAGAGGCCCCCCCCTGACTCCAGGGGAGCGTTTGTTTGTAGTGTGACCCTCTGAAGGGAACCAACAGCTGTTTCCAGTTGGGTTTCGCTACAACAATGCCGTTATTCAATATGATGGGTTTCTTCTTTAGTGTATAGTAATTAACCACAGCCTAATTAGAACTAATGACTCCATCTCTGGGCCCTGCATTGCTAATTTGTATACCAAACCACAAGCGGTGATAAACGGTGTGAAAGATGGGGAGGGGGGGGTGTTAATGTAGAAAATGGATGAGTCAGAAGATTGGGGTGATGTCGTCTTCAAACAGCATTATTAATTAGCGGTAACCAATATTCAAGGAGACAGTTTGATCACAGTTTGTATTTCAATCCAGACCCATAAATACTTAATGCTAAAAAGAAATCCCACCAATTTTTTTATTCGCACTGTTGAAGGCAATCAAGCAAATCAGATGTTATTAATTATAAATTGAGCTATTACTGCTAAGCCCAAACCTCACATTTGCAAATCAAAACACAAATTCATTAAAAAATTAGAAACACTCGCCTCGCGACTGGCTAAAGTGCTATGGGTGCCTGATGTTCATGTGAGGGGTCTGAGTCTGGACCTTCTCACTCCATTTCTGAACAACAGCTATTACAGGACAATGCAGTCAGTGTCATATAACAAGCCCAATGTAATGGCAGCTATCATGATTTCATTGCGAAATTCCATTAAGAACATCGAGTAGCGGCAGAACGAGTAAAAAATTATTAATGATTCCATAAAATAATGCGAAATTGGGCAGGATTTATAGTCGACCGAAAGGAACGTGTGACGTATAAGGAAACTGACTAAGCGCCCACTAGGAAAATCATACACTTGAGACGTGGCCAGAGAATGAAATTCAAGAATAGGGAAGAGCTGGAATTATACAACTACACACCTAAAGGATCCACAGTCAACACCTGTCTCATTCTATAACAGCAGAGACAAGAGCAGAGCGAGTGACAGAATTATTTTGTCAAGTGAAGTGGAATAATACAGAGACAGGTTGTATTCAGATGACTCTAATGGCCTTGTTGACGACTGTTCATCCTAGCTAAGGGCCACACGGGGCGCTCCGTGCCTGTGGCTCTGCCTAGGGCAATCCCCTCAACCGTCAGCACGGGTGACAAGGAGGGTAAATCTGGCCTCCCATTGGCTTTTTGGCAATGCTGACCTCCTACCAGCAGATGGTGCTGTAAACCATGCTGAGTATGGCTGGTTGACATTAGTGGTAATTTTGGCATACGACTTACAAGTGTGAAATCGTACATACTCACAAATTTGAGCGTATACATGTTTGTGTGTTTAACGGATAGAAGGGCTTGCTGACCTTCTTTGCTTTGAAAGTGTGTCTTTGTGTGAGCAGTCAGAAAACAACAATGTTACCTTGAGCGAAGACGTCTTCATGGGATTGGTCTGCTTTAATAATCTTGAGACAGTTTTGAAATGTTCTTTGCAAAGCAGACACTTCCTGGTGGTATTTTAATAGCCGGGTGGCAGTGTTGTCATCTGAGAGAACCCTCTTCTCATCTGGAGAACAAAGAGAAGCAGAAGTACGCGATACATTAGAATGCCGTAAATTTGACTGATAATTGAATTTGACAGAGCTACTAAAGAACAAATCTGGCATAATTTATTAGCAATAATTAGTTGCAACATTTGTATTATTTACTAGCAATGTGTGAATTTGTGGAGGTCAGTTTAAATAAATATTTTCAGTATTACCATACTGAGATTCTTCAGAGCCATCTGCAGAGACAGACAAAATGAGATGCCAGCACAATGCAAACTGAGATGGCAATTATAGGATACAGCAGCCTCTCACTATAACAAATCTGTTGGGACCCAAGGCTTTTGTTCATTATAACTAGGCTTCGCTACACCCAATGGAGATTTTTATACAGAGAGCCTTTGTTGGGACTCAGCAAACATGTTCAATATTGCAGAGGGCTGGTGATAATGAAATGCATTACAACAAGGGTGCACTTTAGCATGTAATGCGGCTCCCTGACTCCTGCCTCCCTGTGCTGACGATAACCGTCTTGTTAACGGTGAGCCCTCAGCTTTACCTTCTGAGCAGACGCTGACCCTCCTGCACTGGCGCCTTCTAATCAGGATTTCATCAGGTGCCTCCAGCATCACTCGGAAAAAAAAAGTCCTCTTATTGCAACACTCATGTAGCTTCGTGCGGCGGGAATGAACGGCGTTTCACAGACAGGCTAGAGTCACTTAATCTCGACAAGCAGGACTAGTCAGTACAGAAATGGACACTATGTCAGGGACAAGGCTGTAGATCTACTCCTAAATTTAGCCCACATTCCGTTACTAGGGCATATATTAATTCAGACATTTAACTGACTGATACTGCATACTGGAGAGATATCCTCACTGCGATTTGACTTAAGAGCCCTCATTAGGGACCAGTCCGCTGTGGAACCAGTGCCAAAGGCCTGGGCTTACGGAACTCACCAACATGGTGAGGGGAAATGCCGAGCTCCTGCAGAAGCAGGGCCTCCTGTCGACTGTGGGGTATCCCCTCCAGCACCCAGCCCTGGGGGAGCACAGGGACTAGTCAGTGACATGAAAATGTTCAGGTGTTTAAGGCCATTATACCTTACATAACACTGTGGGTCACCTCTGCATAGGGGGATTTAGGAGCCAAGACTGATTAAAAGTATGCCGTGAAATGACATTCCTATACAACGCATCCTTGCACTTTGATAAATGTGTTGCAAACTTGTTTATGTACACACAAGGAATCAATTCCACATATGGAAGTTTAGCAAGGTCTTGTCTCTGGAACAGGGGAGAATCATGTTAGGAGACAAAAAAGTTTGCAAGTACATTTCAGTTGCTTTAATTCATTAACGAGATTTGCCTTCCCAGATTCATCCCAACACTTTCGAATTGAGGATTTCTGTTGTACTCAGGTATTGTGTGATGGAAGTTACATTCTGTGAAGCAACCTAATTATCTGCTAATATAACAAACAGGCCTATATCATTATCATTGTTTTCCATGGGTTGGAAAAATGACAAATTTCAGAACATAAAGTGCAAAAAAGCTGTACAAAGAATTATAAAACAGAACGGTTCACGCAAGGATTTCTTAATCCCCGAGAAAGCAATGCCAAATCACATCAATGATGGGTTACATTAGATCTTTACAAAAACACAACACATGTAATTTCTACATTAAACATAGAAAACTATGGCATAAGGAAAATAAAATATGCCAATGTTAAATCTTTTGGATTTGGGATGATAGCCTCTTCAAATAGCAAATGTGCAGTATATGTATCATTTATTTGCAAATGAGACAGAACATATCTCAGCACAAACAACGAAGAATGGAACATCTTATCTGGCAAGGAATGGGGAGGGGTTAAATTAATAAAACCTTGAAAATGTGCCTAATTTTCCAGTTCCTATCCTCTGTTCCCACTTAGCCATAAAAAGAATATAAGAAGGAGGAACACAGAATGCATATCATTCATTAGCTGCAAATAAAAGAAATTCTCTTTAATAGTTCCCCAACTCCCAGAGCTTACTGTGCAATGGAGCGGGAAAGTTAAAAAAAGGGGGGGGGGGGAGCCATTTCCCTCAAGTGCTTGTTAGGCCCAACTTATTATCGCAATGAATAATCTTAGAAATAAATAAATATCTCAAACAAACATTTATAGATCTAAGTATTATCAGAGGAGTACAGGCTTGTTGCACGGCTCCCCGGCGTGTTTGAAATCCGCCTTTGTCTCCCGCTTTGATCTCCGCCTGTTAACCTATTCGACGCCTCACCTGATCTCACCCGTCCCGTGCCAACGTTGCCATTAAATACGCATCTACCCGGGCTACTGACACTGCACGGCTGCCCATGCAGCAAGCGCCGATCGCGGGACGTGTTGCATTTCGATACGACGGCGGCGACCTGGTGCTGTGGAGGTGGGCCGGCCTGGATAATAACGAGACACATTAAGAGGACAGGGATCTTCGTTTGTTCGGGTGTATATACTCACCGTTATCTCCTCTGGCACGGAGGCATACGGATACTAAGCATCGGCAGCATTTATAATAGTGTCCTATTATTAGACTTTTTCAGATTGTAATCTAAAAGAACAATGTGCCATTTATATTCAGAATTTCATAATGGACACAAGATATGGGGGGTGTCAAATTTTGTTGTTAAGCACAGGCAGTGTGGGGGAATTCTGGGATATTATGGTGAAGAGCCAGACAGCCAGTCAAAGAAGGACAGGGGCAGAGACACGACGGGCAGAGAGAAATATTTTAAATGTAGCAGTTAGCAGTAGGTTGTGGGCATTTCTCTGCAGCTCTCCCAGTGTGCGGTGTGGGGGTGTCCCAGGTCCCAGTGTGCGGTGTGGGGGTGTCCCAGGTCCCAGTGTGCGGTGTGGGGGTGTCCCAGGTCCCAGCCCAGAGCCAAGGCTTCATTGAAATTCTAATGAACTCGCACTCACAATCGCACTGCTCTAACCATCCTACGCACGCACAGACACACGCACACACACACACACGCACATGCACGCAGACACACGCACACACACACACACACACACGCACGCAGACACACGCACATGCACGCACATGCACGCACAGACACACGCACACACACACACACACACGTACACACACACATGCACAGACACACGCACACACACACACACACACACACGCCCCTTGAGCCTCCAGAGCCCCACGGCAGC